ATACAATATACTACCAAAATAGGATCACAAATTTTTGTTTGGTTTTTGTTCTCCAAACGCCACTATCCAATTTCTATGTAGAATTGCTCGGTGATTCCGAAAATCGAATTAATTTTTTTCTATGGATACGTTTTCGAGATATTTGCAATTTACCGTTATTCAACTTAAAACAAAAAGTGGTTCCACTTAATCACGTATATCTTACGAATTTAAGAATCTTCAAATAGGCTCTGTGAACCGAATTCTGAGATAGGGCGTTCTTCAACCAAATTCTGAGATAGGGCGTTTTTCAATAATTAGCAACTTGAAACTAGCCACTTTATTGTACTAAAAATGAATGGGCTATGAAACTGCCTACTCGAATTAAAAAGTTTGAAATTTTTATGAAAATTTCATGAATTTTCCTTGATTTTCTACAAAGTTTAAAATTTCGATTCACATACATGGTTTATGTTGTAAAATTAGCCATATTTTTATAAAAACGAACGAAAAAGTTTCCCGTGAAAACATTTTGAATATCGTAAAAAATCAATGCAAAATACTTCTGTGAGTCACTCTATGTACATATGTATGTGCTTTAATGATGCTGCTATAATAAATGCTAGCTTTCTATTCAGACCATATCCAAGTACCTCTGGGTCATCTTTGCGGGACGGGCTTAAATATTGCAGAAAGACTCAGCTTTCGCCACCAAAGAATATAAATCACGTTTATATCTAATTTTTTCAAAAATGTTTCCAATCTTTTGGACTTTCATGTGAAAAAAAAGTGTGCGTGCCCGCCAAATGTGAAAAAGTGAGATAAGTTGATGACCATTTTCAAGGCTCGAAATGTTGGTTTCAGAAAAGAATTTAGCTACTCAACTTAATATGTTTCTCTAACCAAATGATTTGGTTATAGTTACCGAATTATATGTTGAGAGAAATATATTTAGCTGACTTTTTTCTGAGTGTATACCTCGTTGCCTTTGAGCTTATTAAAAGCTCCTTCCACTCAGAAACTTGTTTTTGATAAAAAAAACGATTTCAGTAGCTATTATACGATAATTTACAAGATTACCTCGAATTTGAGAAAAATTTCCTTAGGGGACTTCGAAGAATATCGTATGGACGCCCACTTCTGACCCTCTTCTTCACTTGCAGCTTGGGATTTTTCAACAATTTAAACATTTTCCACGCAACTTACAAATTATAGGAATTCGAAATCGATCCTCCAGAGACAAAGACAAATCACCAAGTGTATTTTTGTCATAAAAAAGTTTCAAGTAAAGATCATTTTCCATTCATAGGCAACGTAAAACTCCAGGTGATTTTACATCAAAAACTGTTTTAACCGCTGTTCGTTTGAGCGTCAGTGATTTAAGGATGCAGTCCTCACCCTAGCTTGGGACCAAAAATCAACCAGTGATTCTGCATTTTGAATCTATTTCTATAGTTTCAGTGGAGTCGATTAGAGTGAATCCGATTGTCACCTATTAAATTCGCAAGCAATTATTTGCCTATGGCTTGCTAAAATATTAGGTCAACAGTATAAAACAATATTGGCTTAAAAAAAAATCCATTTAATTAAAAAAAGGCTATTCACGTAACTGAAGGTTAATTTTGCGAAAACATATTACATATTTATACAAAAGAATACTTGTTGTATGTAAGTTTGTAGATTATTGGTTGGCGTGTCAGCTTTTATTTCACTTCAGCACTTTGCTTCACAGTTCGCTCAACTTCAGAACGTCTAAGGTGAAAAGTGGGTGGGCGGCTGGGATATAGTAGAGTAGAATGTTTAATACATACACACATACATATGTATATGTGTATGTACAAAGATTAACGTATGTACTAGGAATGTTAATCCCAGGATCCCGGCCTTTTTAGGGTCCCAAAAATCTCGGGATTCTCGGCAAATAATCTCGGGATTTTCGGGAATAGAAACTCCTTCTCTTGACCAGTATTGGCTGTATTTATTTTTTTATTTAATAATTAATATTTTTTTATAAATGTCTAGCTCATTATACATATAACACCGCGCGATAGTAAATTTTAAACACAAATATCAATATATTCGCAAAACCATGGGCCAAATACAGTAAAATTGCGTTTTTAGTTTTTCACTCTGACGTCAGTAATTCAAAAATGATTTAAACAAGTAAGAAAGTCTAAGTTCGGGCGGAACCGAACATTAAATACCCGGCGCAAGTATTAAATATATGTTTTTTCACCTTTCCGAAACCTTCCGCTAGATGGTAAGCCGGGGTGTATCAATTTTGAGTAAATTAGCGTCCTTCAATTTCGAAATATTGAAGTTTCAAGCATTTCTGAAATTTACCGTTATATGAGAAGCGGCCGTTATTTTAGTCCGATTTCAATAATTTTCAACGTTTTGCTTATATGTGGCAAGCACAATAACCACACCGAGTTTGGTACAAATTGGTAGAACGGTTACCGATATACTTATATGTGATCATAAGTGGGCGGTGCCACGCCCATTTTCCAAAATTTTACCATAAACGTATTTCTTGGTAAAGAATTGTTGCAAGCATCAATTTTGAATAAATTAGCTTCAATATTTACTGATTTATCGAAGATTATGTATTTCTCTAAATTACCGTTATATGGGAGGTGGGCGTGGTTATTGAGCGATTTTAAAAATTTTCGGCCATTTGGTATGTTGTGCGAAGACCAACAACTGTGCCAAGTTTGGAAGAAATTGGTGCACACATGTAACCATAAGTGGGCGTGGCTACGCCCATTTTCCAAAAATTTATAATATTCTTATTTTTCGTCTAAAAATTATTGTAAATATCAATTTTGAGTGAATTATCTTCAGTAGTTACTAAAATATCGCAGTTTTCGTATTTCTGGAAATTACCGTTATATGGGAAGTGGGCGTGGTTATTGTCCGATTTCGCCAATACCAACCTACCTTGGATTAACAGAAACCTACATACTAAATTTCGTTGAGATATCTCAATTTTTGCTCGAGTTATCGTGTACACGGACAGACGGACAGACGGACGGACAGACAGACATGGCTTAATCGATTCATTTTTTCATTCTGATCATTTATGTATACATTTGTCTATATCTATCTCGATTCGTTTTGGCTGTTACAAACAACCGTTATGTGAACAAAATTAATATACCCTTGTGCACAAGTGCGCTCGGGTATAAAAATTCAGAGAAATATGCTTAGAGAAGACGTATGGGTATCAAATTGAAATGGAAATCCTGTAGAATATAAACAGATTCAAATTTTTGGTGCAGAAGGACTCTATAGTAATTAAAATGTCCTTTTAAAATTGTATCCTTGAAATTTCCCAGTATTTGTTTTTTTTTTTTTTTTGAAAAAGTTATATGTTAAGGACTTATATAAACTCGATAAAATCCTCGTATTTCGTCCTTCTAACTTTATCAGCGTAAAAAATTACTTAATCGTCCTTGTAAATCCAAAGATTTATTTTATTTTATTTTTTCAAATCTAAAGGAATTGCCTCTTGGATTTGGTACCCATATTTTTATTCTACATTCCATCGAATTTTTTAAATAATTTTTGGAATTAATCATATATTTGAAATTACAAAGTCTTTTAAAATAAATCCTAACGTCAGAAAGAAAAAGTAAAAACGCCACTTTAAATAAAAAGTAGGTTTCAAACCTATTTATTTATTATTTATTTTATGGTAGGAGAGCTTCTCAAACAATATAGAACCAATTTTTTCGATTTAAGTTGGTGAAAAGTAATGAATATCTAAATCCCGGGACGACTAATACCAGGATACCGGGATTGTGATAACGACGTCCCGAAAATCCCGGGATCGGAAAAAACTGAAAAATTAACAACCCTAGTATGTACATTTAACTTCAACAAAGTATATAAACACAAATGCATTTGTGCACATACTTTCAGGGGTCGCCGTTGAGTGCTGTCAGCTGGGACTTGGCTGTATGATGGCAATGGAACTAAATAGAGGGTTGGGTTTTTGGCTGCGCTTGCTGGTTCGTTCGTGTGTTCGTTAGGTGTTTTATTGACGTCGGTATGTAAGAGGAAATTTAATGGCAAATATTGTAATATGAAGCCAGGGGTTTTGGCTTTAAAATAATCGAAAAGCACTTTTACAGCAAAATCTAAATTTTAAGCGAGATTTTCATGCTAGTTAAGAGCATAAGAAATTTTTGATAAATATAATATAGTAACTGACTTAATAAAAATTAATTGACAAAAGATGAAGCAAACAATATTTACGAACATTTTTATGTTATGAGCTGAATTAAATGTATTTGGTCAGAAGACATACAGGTATGTATGTATGCGTGAAAAGGGAGTCACCTTCACAAGTATCCACACAATTAATTATTGTAGCCTTAGTGCGTCGCCCGACTGACCATTAGTAATACCATTCCTACGTGCTATAGGACAAGAAGAATAAATTGAAATGAACAGAAAGAGGCAATTTATCCTTTTTACTGTTGAAAATGTTTTCTTTCCAAAGTCTGCAGGAAACGTGCACTGATTGCCAAAGCTGTATGTATGTAGGGTTTAAGTTCGCCAACCGGGCGTTCGATGGCTCAGGCGATACGAGTAAATAAGCGGTTAGATGGAATGGTGTAGGCAGTTTTAAAGTTTGCCAAGCAAATTAAAACTTGAGTGATGGAATACTGGTGATTGCGTGGTTGGCTGCGTACCAGAAGTGATTTATGTGGAAGAGTGTGCTATATGTGGCAAAATTAATATGAAATTCCACTACTAACAAGTTCTAACATACTTTAACAGGATATACATATGATGGCTTGATAACACTAAATCGTGGCACTTTTTCGGAAATGCGTTCTTTACATATTCCATAAGATTTCTCTACTGTCCAGTATGGTTTGCTGCCTTTATTTATCATGTAGAACAATGTAATAGCTTTCTAAAATATCTGTATTTATAAATGTATATATGTATGTACATACATATGTAAGTATGTTTACTTTAATTCAACCACTTTTTCTTTTTTTTTTTAGACAATGGTGGACAAAGAGAAGAAGCGCTTCCATGAGATGGCCGAAAAGGATAAGGCGCGGTATGAAATGGAAATGTCAAATTATGTACCCCCCAAGGGCACAGTAGTTGGGCGTGGCAAGAAGAGGAAAATGATTAAGGATCCGAATGCGCCGAAAAGATCATTGTGAGTTCGTAGCTAACAATGCATTCATTAAATTATTACAAATAGTCAAACTGTTGCTTTAGAATATGAAATCTAACGAAATCTCGTTTTAAACTTTTTAGATCTGCATTCTTCTGGTTTTGCAATGACGAACGCAACAAAGTTAAGGCTGCGAATCCTGAATATGGCGTTGGCGATATTGCCAAGGAACTTGGTCGTAAATGGTCCGATGTGGATCCAGAGGTTAAACAGAAGTACGAGCTAATGGCTGAGAAGGACAAGGCGCGCTATGAGCGGGTAAGTAATGTGACTTAATTAGCTTAAACCCAAATGCATTAACCGTTATTTGGAGCAAAAAGCAATTAATATGTATGTATTTTGCATTGTTTTATTTCAGGAAATGACCGAGTACAAAACCAGCGGGAAAATACCGATGTCCGCCCCCTCAATGCAAGCACAAGCCGCTGCAGCGCAGAAAGCCGCGTTACTCGCTGCCAGTGCACAACAGCATGAGGAGCATGGCGATGATGATGGCGATGGCGATGATGATGAAAATCAATAGATTTAAGAAACCACAAAAAAAAAATATAAAAAACAACAAAAACAAAACAAAGGAGCATAAGATAAAAACAAAAACAAAAAAATGAAAGAATTAATTTTCCACAAAAAATGGAACTTATAGAATCCATTACGTAATTTTTAAGTGATTAAAGAAAGAAATACTGAATGAGATAAGAACAACAAACAGAAAGCAAACAAAAAAAAAAAAACAAATGCAATGAAACCGACGAGAATTAGAAACAAAATTATGAAATTTAACAGGGAGAAAGTACATACATGCAACTCAATGTATAATAATAATGTAGTATGTATGCATGCTGCAAATGCAAAATCAAGGCTAAGGAGTAGCTATAGTTCTAGGAACCACTAGCATGGAAATCAATATATACGATGCAGTACTGCAGATAACAAATACTTTAACACAACACGGCTTTTAAAATCTTTGCAGCGCGTATAAAACCAAGTATGTACGTACTTTCAAACGCTATTCAATTTTCATAAAACCAATATAAAATGCAACTCCCGAACTAACCTTCCATATGATGCTCATTCTGTATACTGACGGCCACACATACATTTCTCATATATCAAAATAGCAACAAGAAAAAAATTATAATTTCAACAGCAAGATAGAGTAGTAATAAAGGCATCTTTGAATAATAATGTCAAACAACTCAGACAATTATTATTTTTTTTTGTATTAATTTGTTCCGCTAATTTTTGATTTATTGTATCTTTAGCAATAAAAGTTAGGATTAAAGAGAGACACTCATAGTTTAGGGGCAATTAAGAAACAGAAAGAAAATATGATAATATCCCATACTCCTTATCCCGTGGAGCAATAAATGTAGGCGTGCGTTTGACTGAAAACATAAACGCACTGGAATTTATTAAATTTTCCGGCTAATTCATTGATTATCGGCTTATTATTTTATTTGACTTTTTAAACTAACATTACATGCTTATATGTATGTTAAACAACCAACAAAATTTGAAGATTTATTTTATTTTTTCGTTGATTTTGTAAAAATATATTTTAATTTCCATTTACCATTTGAAAAAATATACCCACACGCCAGAGGAAATAAGAATGTCAAGACAAAGACACAAAGATAAATAAAAGAAGAATATATTCCGAAATATTTTTACAAACAAGTGCGGTTGAACTCCAGTATGAAAACTAATGTATGTACGAGTATCTCGAATGTGAATATTTTGAGCTAATTGCTAGCCACAAAATGCATAACAAACAGTTACATAATTGTATACCACATTCATACAGCAGAAAAATAGTATACAATAATAATAATTAAAATATGCAAACAATATAAATTTATATAATGTACGATAAGATTTAGAATATACGTATGGTGTAAAACCAAAAAAACAAAAAAAAAACTTGAAATGTTTTCATAATTTAAATAGTGGGCAGTTAGTTGGAATTTAAGAAATTTCGTTAGGATTCCGGTGGAATGCTCTTTGTTTATAATTGTTTGAGACCGATATCTAGCCAGTGACAATACTAGGGCGTTGCAAAGAAGATGATATATCATACCGAACGTAACATGAAAATCACGTAATTTGCAACGGTTTTTGTTGTTACAGCTTACGCTTTTTGTTATATTGCTGCATAGGAAACTTTTAACTCAATATACATCTACCTACCGCGCAAACTCTAGGGATATTCACACTGATCTCGTTACTTCGGCACTTGACAGTTTTAGGTTTATTTTATTTTTGTTAATGTAATGAAAGCACTAGTGCGTCAAGTAAAAGCCCTCTTGAACGTTATGTATTTGCATGTGCCAGTTTTTAATTATGGAGATGTAAACAGGTGCTCGTACATACTACATACGAAATAGAAACGTTTCTATTTTCACCTGACACACAATCCACTATGAATGTATTTGCCCTTTCATCAGGTTTGTACCTTAACAGATAATTATCAACATTTATCAATATACTTTCTGCTGGTCTTATCTTAAATAAAAAAAAAAATATCTATCAGAAAAGAGCCATAAAATTGTTATGACAACGTAAAGGAGCTGTTAAGAGCTCCGTAGTAAAACTATTTACGTTTCTTTATTTCACCTTTTTTGAATTTAATTCTTTTAAAAAATTGGACCAGCTCGAAAAATAAACAAAATATAGCTGTTTCAACATACCATTTGCCAGACTAACAAAAGTAAGATAAAAAAGGTTGTTGTTCGCAGCAAAACATTTGTGCCGAACTGGAAAATTTACGATAGTTGGGTGAATACCCCTACTGCATTCCAGACGCGGGTGCCTTTGTTTCACTTGATTTCACAATTTCCGAAAACTTCAAGCAAAATGCAGATGATTAAGAAATTGATTTCGAATTTAATTGATATCTTAATAAAGCATTTTAAAATTGATTTGCAAACGTTCTCTTCTATTAACCTGGGGAACAGGAAATTTCATTCAGGAATCTTAATTAAATCTTTCAAATATAATTCGCAAGTTTACAAATAAAACCTTTCAAAAGTCTTAACAAAAATTATTTTTCAGAGCAATAGGTGCGGGAACATTGTAAATAAATAACCTCACATTAATATTAAAATAAAAGTTACTGTGCAAATATGTATGCAGTAATGAAAGTTGAGTGAAAGAAAGATGCGAAAGGGTGTGATGACTATGGCGTCTGTTGGGACTTCGAATAACCAATTTGGGGGAGAAAGTGTTGTGTTGGCGATTTGTAGAATGAACAAAATTGGTGCGAATTGTAAATTTTTGTATTACCCTTACTGACTGCAATATTTGTAAGATGATATATTTTCGGAATTTCGCAAAATTACAAATACCATACAGCACTTTTAATTTAAAAAAATTGCTAACATACCTTTAAAACGTTTGTAATTTCGAAACTTCGTGGCTTTATTGGAATTCCTTAAAATCGACGTCGTTATCGTTGGACGCTTTATTTGGATTAGAGTTTGGCGTTTGTAATTTTTAAACGAAATTCAATAGATTCCTACTTAGAAAAAAAAGAACAATAAACTATCGAAAGTGATTTTTTATTATTTGATTATGATCTAGGCAAGTTTTGAATAATTGAATGTTTCTTGTTTTGGATGATCTTTGATGAAAATAATTGAAACACATTTCACATCTGCTATGACAAAATTGATATACAGTGTTGTGCAAAAAAGAACCAATTGCTTATGCAATTTCGAAAAAATAAAAGAAATTTTGATTCACATGCTTATTTTTAAACGGATAACATTGTGTGCAATTGTGACTTTGCTCTTTTTTTACAAGCTTTTATATCAAATGGAACTTAGAAATGTTTGTATAAGCAAATAAGAATAACTTAATATTTTCGTTTCGTATATGATTAAAATCTTATGTAACAAGAAAATAATATTTTGAGTTGAATACAATGGCGGCTACTTAACAAAAATTATTATTCCATAGTAATTACTAATGATTCTAAAATAAATGAGAGATTTATTTTCAATTTTATTACATCTTTCAAAGCTAAAGACATATGTAGGTAAGTTTTTCCGTTATTAAAATACTTTTTCAATCATCTTTTTCTGTTTTCTATATTTCAAATCTTGCGTAAAAAAATTAAATTGCTTTCGACTGCTTTATAGTCTTCAAGTTTGATTTTTAGTAGTATATCGTTGGTAAATTACCTTTATTTCGCTTATTCTATTTTTCGTATTCTTCACAACCATTGAAATTCTAATCCACGCCTTCGCGCCTCATGGGAATCGAAAGAATGAGAAAGGGAGGGAGGACATACATCTGTTGTATATGCATATGTATGTATTAATTAGATACACATTTTTTGTATATATGTATGTATATAGAATATACAATGCATTATACTGTAGTATGTATGCATATTTTTTTCACTCGAAATGCAACATTTAAAAAGAAATATGAATAGAAAAAAGTTAAATTATATAATAATGAATATGAAATGCAAACCACTTCAGGCTCGACAGATTCCTATTAAAATTAGCAATTAAAGATAAAAATGTCAAAAAATTGCATTAGGAGAGACATACGTACATACATATACACTCAGCGTAAATTTACTGCGTAATGTTAGGTTATATTAACAAAAAGGTAAAAAGAAAAATAAATGATAATGAAAACAAGCAATGAGCTACAAGAAGCCGAAATTGATTGATTAAATCGCCCAGCTAAAGATTATATAATTTTGTATTGTTGCAAATGAACTTAACCTACAAATTGGCAACTTTTGCTACATTTTTTCAAAATTTTGTCGTACATTTATAACTCCTAATTTATAAGAGTAGGCAATCAGCTGGTGTTCGCAACAGCATTTAGTACACTGTTGGTTATACTTGCAATCACTTTTTCATGAAAACTACTTAATGAGATTTTTTTAGTTTTAAAACATCATGACATCCCTATACATAAATATGTATGTGTGTATTACAAATAAAAACATGCAGAAATAAAACTTGATTTAGATGCCTCTAAATTTTTGCGCTCTCTAAATCTTTACAATTAATAAACACCAAAACCGACTGCAATAGCAAGCAATATAATCAATGCCTACATCAATGCTTTATGGGTCCCATTATTCGCATATCCTCCAATAAGACTTGCAAATAAGTACATAGAGGCAAAGGACACGAAAAAGACAGACTGAAATGGTTGGAGTCGGTATATTAGTAGGAGAGCTGTGGTGTGTCGTCTGCGGTAGTTTAGCCGACACTAATGCCTATATATACATACATACATACAGACATACTTGAATAACACCAACAAAAAAATTAATATCTAAAAAAAAAACAATAAACAGTTTAAAGGCAGTGAAAACAAACAAGAAAAACCTAATTTTAGCATAGAAAAAAAAAGAGAAAAACTACGTTGCTTTTTTTCGTCCAGACAATGAGCAGTTTTTTTTTTTTTATGAATTTTCAAAACATACATAAATGCTCTTACTTTTATAAGTTGAACTTCATATAAAAATATGCGGAATTTAAAATCATAAAAAATACTTGTTATTAAAAAATGCATACATGATGTACGTACATACATACATACATATATGCTAGATTAAAACTAAAAACAAAAGTTGGTATTTTAATTTTTATAATAATATTTTAATTATAATTGCTTTTTATTACTATTTATAAGTTAAGCGCTCGCATTTACATACAGATATGAAGAATGCGGCGTAGTAAAAGTTTGAAATTATTATAAAATTAGTGAAAATAAGTTTCATGATAAACAATATAAAGAGTTTAAATATTTAAAATTAAATTGTTCGTTGATTTTTCATAAATGTAATTTACCAGTATAAATAATTACCAACTTACATTTATAATTGCATGTACATATGTACATACATATCTATGTATGCATACGTAATTTCGTAGTAAGATGAGTTATAAACAAATAAAAATTAGTTATTGTGTTACGCCAATCAAACCTATTTTTATTTTTGAAATATTAGTGAATACCGTTTGTTTTACTTCGAAATTAAAAATGAAAATGAAATACAAAAACAAACGTTAATCATACAAAAGGAAATTATTGATTAAGTTAAGTGCAGGCAAAATAAAAATTTAACAATTTACATATAAAACATAAAATTAAATATTGTAAGCAGTTAGCCTAAACTTCCACCCGCACACACGATAATTCATTTATATATACATACATACATACTTGATGCATGCAAATCTGTATGTAAATGTATAGACGTACAAACATACTTAAAATCCCCAAAATTATAAAAATACAATAATTATTAGCGTTACGACACGCTTTTACACACACCACCCTAGTATTTACTTTCAAAAGTAATTTATAAAAAAACAAAAAAAAAACAAATACAAAACAAATAACATTTTATGACGTGAAAAAAAACACGAGTTAAAAGTAAAACTAAGTTTGAACCACGTATAAAAAGGAAATATAAGAAAACAGTGCGCTTAAGGCATGGCAAATGTCTCGTGTTGGCGTTGGCAGCAAAGATTATTGTCCCCTTGTAAGCTAACTTACTTATACACCTTGACACTCATGCATAAACACAACATCCATAAACACACTTTTAGGCATATGTGTAAAAGATTAGTTTAATTCTTACACTGTAATATGTAATAATGAAAGTAATTGCGTAATAATTATAAACTACAATAATAATAGTAATGATAATAATACAAATAACAAAATAAAAATAATAAAAAACATACAAATGCATTTTTATTATACATACAAATGTATGTATGCTTTTGTATACAGGGCTATCACAGAATTCTTCGTAGCTTCAATTTTCGTGAAATCTACGAAAGTGCTATCACAGAATCCGAATGGTTACGAACGTAAATTCGAAATTCGTTCGTAATGAAGTTTCCCACAGAAATCACTCAATCTTAAAAATAATGGAAAAAAGCTGCATTATTGTTAATATTAAATATTTATCATACTCCAAATTTGTTATAGTTTCATATAATTACATATTTGTGTAAACGCATACACGCATTCATCTTCTAGATGCTTTTTAATGAATTAATATTTTTTATGAATCGAGGAAATAATAGTTGACCAAATATTCATTAGGAAATAAACCTAACTAGTGAACCCGCATGGCGTTAAAACGCCCAAAATTGAACTTCAGAAACCTAAAAAATATTCCAAATATTAGTCACAGTTATAAGCGATCAAAGTGCCATATTTCATCCAAATCCGTGTCGCCGTTTTTTAGTGAAGAGAGGTCTCGCATTGTGCAAATCACCATTTACCGATAAAAAAGATCTTAAGAAAAAAAATAAAACTTTATCGCACATCCATAGGTTATGATCTTTAGTTTGACCTCTAATTTTTGAAATTCAAAAGAAAGCTGAAAATCGAATGACAAAATACCTTCTCGTATAATACACATACATATACCTATACTTTCAGATCGATATCTTTTTTCAAAAAGGTGGCCAGCCTAATTAAAGATATTTTCAAACTAAAGCTTTCATAAATTACTATCGATTCACCATATATCAAAATATTTCATAAAACTTGTGTAAACGTTAACTAAATTCGACTTTTCAAATAGGTGAAAGTCCTTTTCAAAAGTTATTTAAAACTAAAATCTTCTTAAATCTCTTTCGTCTGACAATATCGTTTCAATAGCAGATGAACTAATTTGAATTTGATTGTTCAAACACGTTGCAACCCTACTAAATAAAAGTCAGAAATAAAGAGTTTTCAAATCCATTTCGATTGATACCCTTCCTTTAATAATTCGGCGAACTGATTGAATAATTTGAATGTAACATTTTAAACACGTGGCAGCCCTTCTCATACGTTCCAAATGCTCAGACTAAATATTTTTAACACTCTTTTGTTTGGCTCCCGTATTTATATAATTCAAATAAATTTTGCATTAGTTAATTAAATTAAACCTTTCAAACAGATGGCAGCCTTCTTGAAAAGTACTTTCAAGCTAAACTCTTGTTAAGGCTTCTTTGTCTAACATTGCGATACATATTTTAATTAAGTGAGTTAGATTTTTTAAACATGTGGCAACCCCACTAAATATTGTTCAGAAATAAAGATTTTTGAAACCCCCTTAGATAGATACCCTAATTTTAATAATTCATTTAACTTTCTAAATACTTTGAATTTAACTATTTAAACAGGTGGCAACACACCTTAACACACTTTCTTTCGACATTCATATTCTGATGTTTCATATAATTTGTGTATAAGTTAACTAAATTCGACATTTCAAGCAGGTGGCAACCTTGTTCAAAATATTTTCAAACCATTCCTTCTTAAAACCCATTTCGTTTGGCACCCATATGGTGATACATACATACTTCTCTTACCTATTTCCCTTATATCCCTCCTATAGTTGAGTTAAAAAAACAAAGCTTTTCAAAAATATTTCGATAAATGTCCATTTTAAATAAGTGATACATTTCTTTTAATAATTTGAATATAGATAAGTTTTGAAAAGGTGGCAACTCTTCAAAAAATAAATCCTTATTGCACATCTACAGCCCGAGCCCTGATAAACAAAAAATTTTCAGGTAAAAGTGTCACCGTTTTTGAAATATTTACATTTTTTCGAATTAAAAAAAAAATCGTGCCTTTTCATGTGTTTCCTTTAACTGCAACTACAAACCGGGCAATACTTAGTAAATTTTTTATGTAATATACTTCCAGATAGTTGCCTCTCCATACTCAAATGCAATGTAGTTAAAATATATTAAGGAATCATCATAAAATTAGGACTATTTCTGGATTTTTAACTTTCTGATATTTTCTTCCCACAACTTTGACTATCTCGGGTGAAAAAAAAATGTACTGAGCTATAACTTTACATTACATAAAAAATTGCTCATTTAATAAAGATTTCAGAAAGGTGCCACACTTACTGTTTTGAAAAGAAAAAAAAGTTATAGCCGCTTTTGTGGGTAAAGGACTGAGACACGCTAGAATGTATTTAATAGATTTAAATTGAATTTGCTCTTGTTACCGTCAAATGACATGCTAAATAGTACAAAGGCACATAATTACTTGCTTCTGACATTATTTTATGTTACTTACCGGAATTCGGACTAGAGTCTATAACAAGGGCTATATCTATCAATATTTTGTGTGAAGGATGGGTTAACGTGAAATAAGATATACATTAGTTGTTTGAAGAAAAATTTATTCATTTATTGATAAAATATGCTCAAATTGGCGACCTTCTACTCTAATACAAGCTCGGCACCTTTTAAGAAAAGACGCTTTTAGAGATATTAAACTCAATTGGGCTATCTCAGCAGCAGCTCCATTTATTTGTTCCCGCAAATGCTCTTCGTTTTGAATTGTTTTTGAATAAATTTTGTCCTTAAGACAGCCCCAGTAGAAAAAATTTAAGGGATTCAGGTCTGGCGATCGAGCGGGCCACGTGATTGGTCCGTATCGTCCAATCCATCGGCGAGGATAAGTTTCGTTTAGATGAGCTCTTACTTCACGCCCGTAGTGAGCAGGGCACCCGTCATTTTGAAGCCATAATCTTCGCCGCAGGTTTAAGGGTACATCTTCTAAAAGAGTTGGAAGCCGTTCCTGAAGGAACTCTAAATAACTGTGAGAGTTGAGCGTTGGCGGCAATTCCACAGGTCCCAATATCTGACAATTAAAAATACCGCACCATAAATTTATTTTGTACCCGTACTGCGAACGATCTTCTCTCATTTCGTGAGGATTGTGTATCTGGCAACTGTGAAGGTTGTGTAAATTAAAATAACCATCACGTTTGCATGCTGATTCATCGCTCCAAATTATTTTATTAAAAAAGTTGGGGTCTGATTCATGCATTCGCAACATTTCACGGCAAAATCTAACCCTCGACAGGTAATCTCTTTCTTGTAGAGCCTGAAGACGTTGAATGTGGTAGGGATGAAATCGATGGCCTTTCAAAGCTTTGTGAACTGTAGTTTTCGGTATTCCCGTCCGTCTTTCAATCATTCTCACTGAAGTCGATGGACCTAGTTCCACTTCCTCTAACACAACTTTAACATCTACCGTTGCAGGACGTCCTGTTTCGCCGCCACGCCTTCCAGGTATGTGACCTTAAAAAAGTAAAAAATGATAGTTAACAAGCAAGCAAACAAGAAAGGTGTAAAAATCACTTACCTTCATTTATTTCTCTATGGGTCCGGGCGAATACTTCACGACCCGGATGCCGACGATTGGGGTATCGCTCTGCATAGAGTCTTTGAGCAGCTCTGGCATTACAGCAAGCTTCACCGTAAATTAGGTGAATATCCGCATATTCATGCGACGTATACTGCGTG